GTCAGTGCTACTTTCTTGTTATAGTAAGAAACCCCACCTTTCACACATTTTAATTCACTCTAACCTAGGGGCAAGTAAACCCAGGGAAAACTTAAGAATTAGGTGGGGGTGGGGGAGCAGTGACAAGACTGATGTGCATGTCACTGTGGTCCCAGTTACCATGGTGCTGGTGAGCCCCAGTCGTCCAGGTTCTTGTGTGTCACAAAGAATTAGGTGAGTCACACAGATACAAAGAAAGAAGTCAGCAAAGTTTATTGAGGTGATAGTACACTCAAAGAAGAGTGGGATCTCGCCGATCTTCTAAAGGGAATTAGCATGAGCCCAAGAGCATGGGTGGAAGTGCCTTTCATTTCTGGTGGGGAGTTTTAAGTCTTTACTCAAGGGCTGTGCTGTGTGTGCTTGACGTGAATGTGCTGAGTGATAACTGCGCATTCCTTACCCATAATTCACTCTTGCATCATTGTATCCATGAGACCCATTTGCATGGATAGATAATGGGCTTGGGGATTTTTGAGAAAGTTACTCTAGAACACAAATGTCAGATGACCTTATTAAGAAATTGGACTTGCTGGTGGGAGGTAACAGAGATGGAAAGAAACAGCCAAGGGTTAGCAATCTTCAGCTAGGAAATGATTGGCTGCCTCCAGGGCAGAAACATCAGGGCTGAAGGGCGTGGTGGAGTAATTCTGCTTAATCGTGGCTGACAGGCAGCAGAGCGCAAGATTGGAGCACCAGAGCGAAAGGGACCAGGGACCAGATACAGTACCAAGCCCCCCCCCCATGACCCACCCAGACATACTCAGAAGTGTGCTTCACTAGGCCCCGGGGGGCTCCCAAGCCAATCAAGTTGGTAAGATTAACTCTGGTATTACAGACTGTGTAGAACAGGCATGGGAGTGTGCCCATAAAAATGTACTTGCAGATCAGAGCGGATTCGTCCGTGGGTGTGGGTTACTAGATCCTTACTCCATACCACTGCCTGCCTGGGAACAGAGGAGGCACCTCAGGCACACCCACGAGATCACCAATGTCTGTCCACTCTAGCTTCCAATATACCACCCTCTTCTCTTGAAAATAAGACCTAGCCAGAGATTAATCAGCCTTGAAAACTAGATATCAAAAAGATCAGTTCCAATCAGCCTATCCTTGCCTCGCATAGCTTACAGAGAAGGCACTGAACAAGAGAACAGGGATAGCAGGCGAGGCAAGAAAAGGCTGATTGGGCTGACTTTTTTTTTTTTTGAAACAGGGTCTCGCTATGCAGTTCAGGCTGGCCTTGAGCTCACTTTGTAGCCCAGGCTGGCCTCAAACTCGCAAGGATCCTCCTGCCTCAGCCTCCCGAGTGCTGGGATCACAGGCATGCACCACCCCGCTCGGCTTGGGCTGGCATTTTTGGTCTCTCGTTCTCCAGGCTGATTATTTTCTGGATAGGTCTTATTTTCAAGAAAAGCCACCCACATTACCATCATCTTGGTGTCAGGCAGCTTCCGAGTAACCCGTCAACTCTACCCTTGTTTCCCTTTGAGCCATTCTTAGCATAGCAACAACAAAACGTCTCTGAATGAAAATCTGAACATCTCTGTTCTTGGCTAAAACTCTTCAATGCTGAATATCGATCATTTGACAAAATACTTTAGCAGGCTCCCCAGGCATCTTGAGTGGGTCCTCTCTCCCTCCCTATTTCTCTCTTCCTTGCTTTCTCCGCATTTCTCTGCGATCGTGAACAGCGCTGCGATGGGAGTGTAAGCTGGGAGGGTAAGCGTCTCTGTGACATCACTTCTTTTGGACATACACCCTGTAGTGGGAATGGTGGGTCGTACGGTAGCTGTTTAATTTTGGGGGGAATTTTTGTATGATTTTTCCATAGTGGCTGTACTAATTTGCATTCCCACCCAACAGTATGCAAGGGTCCTGTTTCCTCCACATCTGTATCAGTACTTGCTGTTTTTAGTCTCTTTGATAATCTCCGTGCATATTGGGGTGAAGTGTTATTTCATTGTGACTTTGATTTGCATTTCCCTAATGATTAGTGATAGTGGACATTTTTTTCATATATTGGCTATTCATATGGGTTCCTTTGACAGATGTCTGTTTAGACCCAGTGCCCATTTAAAAAATCCAGGTGCTTTTTATTTTTGCGATTTAATTTTTCACATTCTCTAGGGTGTTCTGGATATGGAGTCCTTGTCAAATGTTTAGTTTGCAAACATTTTTTCCCTTATTGTAGTATGTGTCTTCAGTCTGTAGTTTGCTGTGAACAAGCTTTTTAGTTTGATGAAATCGCGGTTGTTCTTCCTTTGGTTTCCTGGGCTTGGGGGATTTGTCTAAAAAGTCCTTGCTCCTCCGTGTCCAGAAGCCTTGGTCCTAGGAATTCTGTTGTCGTTTTTAAATTGAGACGTAATACCTGATCATTGGGGTGCGTTATGATCCTTAGGGATTCTTATTCTTAAACCTTGAGGGCTGCAAGCTGGTGCCCTATGGGTTTTTCTTTTTCTCTTTCCTAATTTAAAATTTTATTTCATTTCATTTATTTATTTATTTTGTCTTTTTGAGACAGAGTCTCACTCTGCAGTTCAGGCTGGCCTTGAGCTCACTTTGTAGCCCAGGCTGGTCTTGAACTTGCAATGATCCTCCTGCCTCAGCCTCCCAAGGCCTGGAATTACTGGTATGCGCCACCACTCCCGGCTTGTAATTTAGAATTTTAATTTAAAAAGAGCCTGGGATCCCCCCACTCCCAATAAAAGAGAAAGGGGGAAGTGAATTTTCCTTAGACAACAAGGTGAGAGCTATAGGATTAGAACTATATTGTCTGCAGGACTGTGTGAAATCAATGCTAAAACCAGACCAGACCGGATTCAACTTCCCACCCAGAATACACTGTCATTCCCTCTTTTCAAAGTCAAGTCAGCCCCAGTAACCATTTGCTGTTAATTGGAGAGGCAGGAAGGCTCCGGTTTAGCCTGACATGCCCTGCAGTGGGAAGACAATAGTTACCCCAGTCCTTCCTAACAGCGCTGTACCATTTTCTTCCTGCATACTGCTATCCGGGCCTACAGCAGAGAGCCTCACGCGGTATAACCGGGGGTCTTGAAGGTGTGTGTTGCTTGAAAATTGTAAGTGACACTTTGATCTCTGGTTAGAAACTGCACAGCGCTTTAGGGACGCAGGTCCTGCTGACACTGAGTTAGAACTAGGACACGCGTCAGTGGCTTAGAGAATTAAAACCCAAATGTATGCGCTCTCCCCCTTCAGCCTGCAACCGGGGGTCCGCAGGGGGCAAGCGCTCTTGCACAGACGCCAACGCCCAGCAAGCAGCAAGCTCTGGAGGGCAGCGCCTGCCTTTCCCGCGCTGCGCGGGGAGTCGGGGAAGAGCCTCCCCGGAGCAGAGTGAGCGTCGCGGGGGCTGCCGGGGCCGGTGCCCGGCCCAGGGGCTGGCGCTCCTGATCTGCAGCCCGCAGTCCCCAGGATGCTCGCCGCGCAGGGCAGGCGCGCGCTCGGGGCTCCGCGC